TAAAATAAAAATAAGCTATTGAGTGAATTTAATATTCTAAGAAACAATACTGAGACCAAAACTAGTGACTACATACTCACTATGCTGAGCCATAGGCTAGGTAATGTTAGGGCAAGGTATAGCTTATGAATGGAATGAAATGGGCTACATTAAATTCCATCCATTAACTTTAGGATATTGGCCTCCACAATTTTAAAAGAATAAATGTATCTTGTCAAGCCACCAAATTTATAGTAATTTGTTCAGCAGAACTAGGAAGATGTGCACCCCATTTCTAAGCGGACAATTCTGAGCTGTGGCTAACTCTGTTCTACCCTATACTTTGCAAAGACCGGGGAGGAGATGAGAAAGGTTCATGGTAGCCTCTTGGGGAGAGAGGGAGGGGACTGGCGATGACCTCGTGGCCTCCTTACAAGCCTCCTGCCTCCTCCTGGCCTGGGGGACCACATGGTGTTCCTCAGTATTAGATTCATTGCAATTCAAGCTGTTGCCCATGTGAGTTTGTGCAAGGTTTCCAAGGCCCTGTGGCAGAGCCATTCTCCTGAGAGTGACCTGTTCTGGAGCTGGAATCACTACAAGAGGCATGGCCTGGTACTTAGTTTAGAAGAGCCTCACCTCACTTCTGAGATGGCCTTGGAATTCTCTAACCTAAAGTCACAATCACAGTCTCTGATGCTGAGAATGCCTGAATCACAGGTGCTGGGTCACATACAACCACTTAAGTCTCTTCAGCTGACAAGAACCTGATTTAATGCATAGGGCTGATAACTGAACACATTCCCAATGCCTCTGCCACCTTGCCTATGGACACAGTCTACCTGTGGGCTAGGTGTGCTTTGATCACCATCAATATTGCTTGAACCAATCCCCTGCTGAGGACTTCTTTGAGGACTCCACCACCCCACAGTGACTGGGGAGGTGCCAGCTCCGCCTCCCAGCCCCTGACCAGGTGGGGCTCTGATTTTTTACCTCTCCCCATCCCTTCCCTCTCCCTGCTGCAGGTGGGGCTCTGATCCCTTTCTTCTTCCACCCCAGGTGGTACTGATCCCTTCCCTCTCCCGCTCAGGTGGGGCTCTGATCCCTTTCTCCTCCCTGCACCAGGTGGGGCTCTGAACCCTTCCCTCTCCCTTCCCAAGCTAGAGTTCGGATCCCTTTTTATCTCCATCCCCCAAGCAGGGCTCTGATCTCTTCCTCCTCCTGTTAAATGAGGCTTCGATGCCTTCCCGCTCAGTGTATCAGTGAGGTTTACTCTCATATTGGTCAGATTCTTCCAGTGCCTGATGGCCTTTGATGTCTTCAAATTGCATGGCTTCATATTGGAGTCATTTTTCATCTCCTTAATTTCCCTGGCTGCCCATGGATTAAAATACCATGGTACTGGTAACCTCTGAACCATGCTGGTAGTTACTACCTTTGGTTCCTGTGTTAGGCTGTCTAGTTGCCTTTACCAGCCTGAGGCTTAGAGACAAGCTCCTATCATCGAAGGCCACTTCAAATCCAGAGGCTTAACTGTCCTGGCCATCTCATCATTTCCATGGACATATTTTTTGAAGTCTGTGGTATAATGAACTGACCAGATGAACTTGAGGCCACAGTGTCCAGATTTGACTTCTGTGTTTGCTGCCCACTAGCTCTGTCTTCTGATATAAATTATTGAATGTCTGGGCCATGGTTTACATACCTGGATAATGTAAGTTTAATGATCTATAACATTGTCTGCCACATAGTGGCACATAGTGGCACATAGGAATGTTGGCAAGGAAGAGGATGACACTGATGACACTGATGATACTGACAGTGTCAATCCTGCCCATGTTTCCCTCATACCTGTAACTTTGCATTATTCTCTAGGAAGGCACTTACTAACTTGTAAGTATTAAAACGTCTGTTTTTTCTGGACCTGCACATTGCGAATTCCCTGAGAGCCACAGTCTTCTTTTATTTATCCTTACATTCCTGGCACTGGGTATAGTACCTGGTAGAGACAGCTTTAGCAAAATTATTGTCCTCACTCCCCTCTTCACCTTATTAATTCCTTAATAGGATGTGCAAATGGGCCAGATCAATGTGAAAGAAAAATGAACGCTTCAGGAATTTAAATAATTAGGTGGTATAACTATAAAATATTTCTAAACCTAAACCCTGACTTATAGATTGGATAGCAATTATATGAGCAGTTTAAAAATATAAAGCCCATATTGTACATTTTTCTATTGCCAGAAATATATTGAGTAGAATTGTATAGTATTTTTTCCCTCTCTTTAGAGGTTATTTAACTCTATCAATCTTATTTTCAGTTTAATTATGAAACCAACATGCCAAACATACCATACATCCAAAAATGAATTTAGCCTTCGGAATATTAATTAGCATTGTTTCAAAGAGACAGCCGCTGTTTATCATTGATTTAAATTAAATATTGAGAAGGAAATTAGAGATTTTTATTTCATTTATTCAGCAGCAACATTACAGTTTAAACAAATGAAGGCATAATTAAACAGGCTGCCATTAAATTACAATCTGTGTCTCATGTAAGCAAACATATTAAAATTGAAAATGCTTGTCATGAATATAAAACCAGCTTGCTTGAATAAGAATTACTCTGAATGTATGATGCACTTTTAAGCAATTGTTTTGTTCATTTTCCAAAAAGCACTGTGGCACTTTTGATGTGACCAGACTAACAGGTTGCATTAATTGTGAGCTATATTTGATAATAACAACTGCAAGACTACTCCTGATAGCTAATGATGTGGTAATCCCTGGTACGGACTTAACTCACACCAAGTAATTTAATTCATGAGGTGGGTATCATTACTATCTCTTCTAAAGAATGTCTTTTTTGTTTGTTTGTTTGTTTGTTTTTGTATGTTTGATTGTTTGAGAGAGGAAGAAATTAAAGTCATTAGGGAGCAGCGATGGGAGTGGGGGAGGGGACCTGCTCCCTGTAAGCCCCGATGAATGTAATGTGCAAAAGAAGCAAACAGAGTCCCCTCGAGATTTTGTGGCAGAGAATCCAATGCTGAGAGGCAGGTTACAGTGGGAGCAAGAAGGTACAGAGGCCGATCAGCAAAGTGAAGCTTCTAGAAAAAGACTAGTTCTGGGAATCACTTGGTAGACGGTGTGTACACTTAGAGAACTAGTCCAGGATATACTGATAGAATTAAATAGAATTATTTTCCAAAATTATCATTTCCAACAGCATTTCTTTACTTTAGATGAATGACCTTGAATACGTTGCTTAACTCTGAGTTTTCACTTGCTCATCTACCAAGGAAAGATGATATTTACAACCCACCCCAAAAACCATGGTGATGGTGAATAGCACTTGATAATAAATGGTGTCTCCTATCTACTAGGGGCTCCAAGAGGACACATATTAAATGCTTAAAAATTTAGACTGAAATTTAAAACAGCTTGTAAGAGAGACGTGCCTTCGCAACGGTGAATCAAAGAGTGGCTCTGAGTGGACAGCATGGGGTCTCAGGAAATTGATTGTCAGTTACCTAACCCGGTCTTTTTTCCTAATCCTACACCTCCTTGATATCTGGTGGGTATGTTTTACATTCAGAATAGCCCGGAATAACTTATAATCCTTTTAAGGTTGCACGATCCAGGAATGCTGAGCAGGGTAAAAAACACACAAAGCAGTAAAAATAAATAAAATAAATAACTAAATAAATAAGGAGGTAGCTTACCCACAGCCATCCTAGTAATCGCCAGATGGTGATTGCGGACAATGGATGTGACGTAAAATGCAATAATCTGACCAAGCAAAATTGAACTCAGAGAAAATACATTTAAACAGTGTAATTTAATGGTGAGGACGCATCTTGGGAAGGGAAATGAACCTTTTTCCGAGATGGGTCTTCTAAATTGACACATAAAAATTAAACTTTTATAACTGGCATCAGGCTGGGTGCTGATTTGGGATCCAGAGTTCCCCTGCTTCTTCAGTAGGGCAACTGTAGTCTTCATGACAAGTCAAGGTAAATGGCATTCAGCAACTGCTGCTCCACATTTAGCCCCAATGAAGTTCTCTTCTCTATAAATGAAATAATGCTTTCTTTTTAAAGGTTTTTCCTTTTCAAAGCAGTCTCAGCTATCTCCACTTGCTAATAATTCATGTATTCATGCCACATATCTCTCTCAGGCTGCAAATAGTCCCACTGAGGCTTTCTTGAGTGCGGGGAAGGCAGCAGGGGCAAGACAGCTACCCCTGTCAGAGTTCACCATCCACCCTTTCAGAGGCTCCAATGTACATGTCAAATAGGTTTTCTCTTCAAATATTATTGGTTATGCCTTGTGTCAATTTTTAAATGCCTTTATTGAGGTAAGAGTGCCATACAAAAGCTGTACCTATTTAATGCAGAGCCTGATGAGTTTGGGGATAAGAACACACCCATGAGACTATCACCACAATCATTGTCGTGAATTATCCATCACCTCTGGAAGTTTACCACCTTCTCTTAATTTTATTTTTGTGAGTGATATAATAATATAAGATTTGCCTTCTTAGCAAAGTTTTAAGTGTACTCTACAGTTGATACGGTTTGGCTGTGTCTCCACCCAAATCTCATCCTGGATTCCCACGTGTGGGAGGGACCAGTTGGAGGTAATTGAATTATGGGGGCAAGTTTTTCTTGTGCTGTTCTCATGAAAGTTAGTAAGTCTCACAAGGTCTGACGGTTTTCAAAAGAGGAGTTCACCTGTGCAATCTCTCTCTGTCATCCATGTAAGATGGGACTTGCTCCTCTTTGCCTTCTGCTGTGAATGTGAAGTTTCCCCCGCAACAGTGGTCTCAAATGGAGATGAGGAATTTGATGGGAGCTGGAGCAAAGATGACTCTTGTTATGCTTTAGCAAAGAGACTGGTGGCATTTTGCCCTGCAAATTTGAAGTTGAGAGAGATGATTTAGGGTATCTGTTGAAAGAAATTTCTAAACAAGAAAGCATTCAAGAGGTGATTTGGGTGCTATTAAAGGCATTCAGCTTTATAAGGGAAGCAGAGCATAAAAGCTCAGAAAATTTGCAGCCTGACAATGCAATAGAAAAGAAAATCCCATTTCCTGATGAGAAATTCAAGTCTGCTGTAGAAATTTGCGTAAGTAATGAAGGGTAAAATGTTTATCCCTAAGATAATGGGGAAAACGTCTCCAGGGCATGTCAGAAGTCTTCATGGTAGCCCCTCCCATCACAGACTCAGAAGCGTAGGAGGAAAACATGGTTTTATGGGCAAGGCCCAGTGTCCCTGTGCTGTGTACAGCCTAGAAACTTGATGCCCTAAGTCCCAGCCACTCCTGCTGTGACTAAAAGGAGCCAATGTGGAGCTCAGGCCATGGCTTCAGTTGGTGCAAGCCTCAAGGCTTGGAAGCTTCCACATGGTGGTTAGCCTGTGGTTGCACAGAAGTCAAGAATTGAGATTTGAGAACCTTCGCCTAGATTTCAGAAGATGTATGGAAATGCCTGGATGCCCAGGCAGAAGTTTGCTGCAAGGGTGGGGCTCTCCGGTAGAACCTCTGCTAGGCCAGTGCAGAAGGAAAATGTGGGATGGGAGCCCCCACACAGAGTCCCTTCTGGGGCATTGCCTAGTGGAGCTGTGATAAGAGGGCCACCATCCTCCAGAATCCAGAAAGGTAAGGCGATTCCATGCAAGGCAAGCCAAGTCAATTCCAGGCAATGCGATTCCAGGCAAGGCAAGGCAAGACGATTCCAGGCAAGACGATTCCAGGCAAGGCAAAGCAAGTTGATTCCAGGCAAGGCAAGGCAAGGCAGTTCCAGGCAAGGGAAGGCAAGGCAAGGCGAGGCAATTCCAGGCAAGGTGAGGCGATTCCAGGCAAAGCAAGTCAAGCCGATTCCAGGAAATTCAATTCCAAGCAAGGCAAGGCAAGTCGATTTCAGAAAAGTCGATTTCAGGCAAGGACAGGCAAGTCAATTCCAGACAAGGCGATTGAAGGAAAAGAAAGGTGATTCCAGACAAGGCAATTCCAGGCAAGGCAAGACAAGTCAATTCCAGACAAGTTAATTCCAGGCAAGGCAAGGCAAGTCGATTTCAGAAAAGCAGATTCCAGGCAAGGCAAGGCAAGTCGATTACAGGCAAGTCGATTACAGGCAAGGTAAGTTGATTCTAGGCAAGTCGATTCCATTCAAGGCAAGGCAAGTAAATTCCAGAAAAGTTGACTCCAGGGAAGTCGATTCCAGGCAAGGCAAAGCAAGTTGATTCAAAGCAAGGCAATTCCAAGGAAGGCAAGGCAAGTCAATTCCAGAAAAATTGATTTCAGGCAAGGCAAGGCAAGTTGATTCCAGAAAAGTCGATTCAAGGCAAGGCAAGACTACTCTATTCCAGAAAAGGCGATTCCAGGCAAGGCAAGGCAAGTCGATTCCAGGCAAGTCAATTCCAGGCAAGGCAAGGCAAGTTGATTTCAGGCAAGGCAAGGCAAGTTGATTTCAGGCAAGGCAAGGCAAGACAAAGCAAGGCAAGGCAAGGCAAGGCAAGGCGATTCTGGATAACGCAAGCCAAGTCGATTTCTGGCAAGGCGATTCCAGGCAAGGCAAAGAAAGATGATTCCAGGCAAGGCAAGGCTCATCCAATCCAGGAAAGGCAAGGCACGTCGATTTCAGGCAAGGCAAGGCATGTCGATCCCAGAAAAGTCGATTCAAGGCAAGGCAAGACAAGGCGATTCCAGACAAGGTGATTCCAGGCAAGGCAAGGTAAGTCAATTCCAGGAAACTCAATTCCAGGCAAGGCAAGGTAAGTTAATTCCAGGCAAGTCGGTTCCAGGCAAGGCAATGCAAGTCGATTCCAGAAAAATTGATTTCAGACAAGGCAAGGCAAGTCGATTCCAGAAAAGTCAATTCAAGGCAAGGCAAGACAAGTCAATTCCAGACAAGGTGATTCCAGACAAGACAATGCAAGTCGATTCCAGAAAAATCGATTTCAGGCAAGGCAATGCAAATCGATTTCAGGCAAGGCAAGACAAGTTGATTTCAGGCAAGGCAAGGCAAGACAAGGCAAGGCAAGCCAAGTCTATTCGAGGCAAGGCGATTCCAGGCAAGGCAAGTCAAGATGACTCCACACAAGGCAAGGCACGTCAAATCTGGGACAGACAAGGCACGTCGATTCTGGGCAAGGCAAGGCACGTTGATTCCAGGCAAGGCAAGACAAGTCGATTTCAGGTAAGGCAAGACAAGACAAGACAAGGCAAGGCAAGGCAAGGCAATTCCGGGCAATGCAAGGCAAGATGATTCCAGGCAAGGCACGCAAGTTGATTCCAGGAAAGGCAAGACACGTCGATTTCAGGCAAGGCGATTCCAGGCAAGTCGACTCCGGGCAAGGCAATGCAAGTCAATTCCAGAAAAATCGATTTCAGGCAAGGCAAGGCAAGTCGATTCCAGAAAAGTCGATTCCAGGCAAGGCATGACAGGTGGATTCCAGACAAGGCGATTCCAGGCAAGGCAATGCAAGTCGATTCCAGGAAAATCGATTTCAGGCAAGTGAATTCCAGACAAGACAAGGCAAGTCGATTCCAGGCAAGTCGATTCTAGGCAAGTCAAGGCAAGTCGATTCCAGGCAAGTCGAATCTAGGCAAGTCAAGGCAAGTCAATTCCAGAAAACTCAATTCAAGACAAGGCAAGGCAAGGCAAGTCGATTCCCGACAAGGCGATTCCAGGCAAGGCGATTCCAGGCAAGGCGATTCCAGGCAAGTCAAGGCAAGTCGATTCCAGAAAAGATGATTCAAGACAAGGCAAGACAAGCCGATTCCAGACAAGGCGATTCCAGGCAAGGCAAGGCAAGGCGATTCCAGGCAACTCAATTCCAGGCGAGGCAAGGTAATTTGATTCCAGGCAAGTCGATTCCAGGCAAGACAATGCAAGTCGATTCCAGAAAAATCGATTTTAGGCAAGGCAATGCAAGTCGATTTCAGGCAAGGCAACGCAAGTTGATTTCAAGCAAGGCAAGACAAGGCAAGGCAAGCCAAGTCTATTCCAGGCAAGGCAATTCCAGGCAAGGCAAGGCAAGATGACTCCACGCAAGGCAAGGCACATCGAATCCGGGAAAGGCAAGGCACATCGATTCCGGGTAAGGCAAGGCACGTTGATTCCAGACAAGGCAAGACAAGTCGATTTCAGGCAAGGCAAGACAAGGCAAGGCAAGGCAATTCCGGGCAAGGCAAGCCAAGTCAATTCCAGGCAAGGTGATTCCAGGCAAGGCAAGGCAAGTCGATTCCAGAAAAATCGATTCAAGGCAAGGTAAGATGGGTCGATTCCAGACAAGGCGATTCCAGGCAAGGCAAGGCATGTCGATTCCAGGCAAGTTGATTCTAGGCAAGGAAAGGCAAGTCGATTCCAGAAAAGTTGATTCCAGGCAAGGCAAGGCGAGTCGATTCCAGGGAAGTCGATTCCAGGCAAGGCAAGTCAAGTTGATTCCAGACAAGACGATTCCATTCAAGGCAAGGCAAATCAACTCCAGGCAAGTCAACTCCTGGGAAGTCAATTCCAGGCAAGGCAAGACAAGTGGATTCAAAGCAAGGTGATTCCAGGGAAAGTAAGGCAAGTCGATTCCAGGCAAGTCGATTCCAGGGAAGTCAAGGCAAGTCAATTCTAGGGAAGTTGATTCCAAGCAAGACAACACAAGTCAATTTCAGGGAAATCAATACCAGGTAAGGCAAAGCAAATCGATTCCAGCCAAGTGGATACCAGGCAAGGCAAGGCAAGTCAATTCCATGCACGTTGATTCCAGGCAAGGCAAGGACAGTCAATTCCAGGCAAGTCAATTCCAGGCAAGGCAAGGCAAGGTGATTCCTGGCCAGGTAAGCCAAGTCGTTTCCTGGCAAGAAAATGCAAGTCAATTCCAAGCAAGGCAAATCAAGTCGATTCCAGCCAAAGCAAGGCAAGTCAATTCCAGGCAAAGCAAGGCAAGCTGATTCCAGGCGAGGCAAGGCAAGTTGATTCCAGGAAAGGCAAGTCAAGGCAGGTCGATTCCAGGCAAAGCAAGGCGAGGTGAGGCGAGGCAAGGTGAGGCGAGGCGAGGCAAGGCGAGGCGATTCCAGGCATGGCAAGTCAAGGTAAGGCAAGGCGATTCCAGGCAAGGCAAAGAAGTCAATTCTAGGCAAGGCAAGGCAAGTCGATTTCAAGCAAGGCAAGGCAAGACAAGGCAAGTCGATTTCAAGCAAGGCAAGGCAAGACAAGGCAAGGCAAGGCAAGGCAAGGCAAGGTGATGCTGGGCAGGGCAAGCCAAGTCGCTTCCAGGCAAGGTGATTCCAGGCAAGTCAAGGCAAGGCAACTCCAGGAAAGGCAAGGCATGTCAATTCCAGGCAAGGCAAGGCAAGTCGATTTCAGGCAAGGCAAGGCAAGGCAAGGCAAGGCAGGGCAAGGCAAGGCAAGGCAAACCAAGGTGATTGTGGGCAAGGCAAGCCAAGTCGATTCCAGGCAAGGCAATCACAGGCAAGGCAAGGCAAGACGATTCCAAACAAGGCAAGGCACGTCGATTCCAGGGAAGTCGACTCTAGGCAAGGCAAGTCGATTCCAGAAAAGTCGATCATAGGCAAAGAAAGGCGAGTTGATTACAGAGAAATCGATTCCAGGCAAGGCAAGGCAAGGCAAGGCGAGGCAAGTCGATTCCAGGCAGGGCGAGGCAAGGCAAGGCAAGGCAAGGCAAGTCGATTCCAGCCAAGACAAGGCAAGATGATTC